GTTTAGTATATTTAGAATTCACCACCCAATGGCACTAAACTACCACTACGGGGGATCTAATTATCATGATAGGCATTAACTTTAGAGCCATCCCCTATTCTCCAAATTAGTCCGTGCATTAGCAGATTTCTACCATGTATCAAACTTCTCCAAGTATAAGAGCAACCTTGAGGACACGCCGTAGCCATAATACCTGTGTCCGCAAAATAGCGAGCCTACAAGACTCGAGCACATAGAGAGTTTGGGACTGTCCAGATCCGCCACACTTCTTTGGCCAGGAGAGCTTGATTGAACATCTCAAAATCTCTGAAATTCATGCCACCTTCACGTTTTCTTGTGCACATTTTTTCCCATGCCACCCAATGGAATTTTTACTCGTCGTTGGCTGCTCATCACCGGAATTTTGAAGAGATTGATTTCAGGTTCCGGCACATTTTCTTAGAGAGCCAGAAGACACTCATTGAATAAGTTGGTGTTGCATGTGACACCGACTTGACAAGTACCCTTTTTGCCGCCTTTGACAAGTGTGATATGTGGATGCACATCCGGGAGCTCCTAATCGGCGCTTTGAGCGCCGGTTGACTCTACTCGCGCTCGCAAGCGTTGCATAGCGGGTCGGCCCATTACGTGTTCAAAAAAGAAAACATGCAAAAAAATAGTGGGAGAGCTGGGATTAAATCTCAGTACATCACGCCTTGCAGACTAACGGAACAACCAATGCACCAAACACATTTTGCTATCTATTAGTAGAAAACAACACTACTTAATATTGTTTTTAGTAAAATGTTAACTTAAGTTTGAAAAGTACTTGAAAAGTTCGTCGATTTTGAAAACAAATTCATCAATTTTTAAGAAAAGTTCACAAAAAATTTAGAAAAATCATCGATTTTGAAAAAAGTTCATCAGGTTTGGAAAAAGTTCATCAAACCTGCAAAAACTTTTGTTGAATTTGAAAGAGTTCAACAAATTTGAAAAAAGTTCCATCAATTTGAAAAAATTTCATTGAATTTGAAAAAAGTTATTCGAATTCGAAAAGTATTTCATCTATTTTTTTAAGAGTTCACAAATTTGAATAAAAATTCATCGATTTTGACAAAATACTCATGAATTTGAATGAAAGTTCATGGATTTTGGCAAAAAGTTTCATCGATTTTGAAGAAAAATTTCATGAATTTCTTAAGAATCCGCGCATTTAATAAAAAAAATGAAAAATCAAAGCGTCCAGAAAAAAACCCACGACTAAGGAAAGAAATAAAAGGAAAAGAAATCGAAGTGTTTCACAACAGGGTGGGATAGCCGAGTGGTTGGTGCCCTTCCCATCGAACTTAGAGGTTGTGAGTTTGAAGGCAGTGGTTCCCCGTCAGAAAGGAAAACAAAATGGAACAGCTAAAAAAATAAGCATCAAAATGGAAACTGTGGCAACACGATGCATCCAACTAGGCCGTGGCCCAAGGGCCTTATGCTTTGGTAATAAAAACAAACACTGCCGTTGTTCAAAAAAGAAATACTGCCAGCCAGAGTAGCTTGCTTCGTACGGCCCGGCTACTAATTTTCCCCTTTAAAAACACAGGGCGAATTAATGAGTCTTTTTTTGGAAGGAGGACAAATTTTTTTGAGTGAAGGAAGACGAATTAACAGGTCAATTTATTTGATGACCACCTCAAAAAGTTGAGAGCTTATTTAGAAGCTCCTTTTTCACTAAAAAAATACATAAAATTTGACATTTACTTCAAAAAGAAGTAAATGTACCTTTCTTTTTCTTTCTCTTCATGTATTTTTTCCACAGAAACTACTTTTTCTTTTGATAACAAGCACACACACACATGCACACCAGTATTTAAATCCTAGTGTGTACAGTCACCCTACGAATCTACCACCCCACCAAGAGTCTCTTAAACCCTTGATATCCCCATATATGTTCATGTATCCCCTTCATTCTTGGTTGTGTGAAGGGGCTCCACGCGCGCCCTAGTGTCGTATTTCTCCTTGGAGGCTTAGTCGTGGAGCCTCCTACCATCAAATGGTGGGTGAGATTCCCAAGAGAAATCCTTAGCTCCAGGTTCTTCGAACGAACGATGGTGGTGGCTAGATCGCATCTTCCTTTGAAGTCATCACCTTGGAGAACCAAGATTCAGTTATTTGTAGCTCCTCAAGAGGATGGTGGAATTAAAGTCGGCAGCCCGGATTATTGATGTTTGTGCATCGAGGCGGCGACCTTGGAACAATAGCGGGTAGCGGCTCTAAGAGGAAGGGCAATGGCTCCATGTGGCTTCGGTGGCAATTCTGTGTTGCTAGTGCGGCAGTGGGTTGTGCGGCGTTGCATCTTGAGGATGAGTGGTGATACGTCACGTAGCGGCCCAGAAAGTGGTATTGGTGGACTGCACAGGGCGTAGCAGAGGGTCGGAAGTTGGGTCATCGACCCTGAAACTGCAGCAGCTTTGATGGCGGTAGCTTCGTGTTGCACGGGCGACGGGTGGTCGTTAGCATTTTGGCTGATGAAGTGAGCGTATGATCTCACGGTTTTGTGAGTCCTGAGTCTGCCCCTTTCATTCTCTTCAATGGTGGTGCCAGGCTTGCTAGTTTGGCAAATGGTTTCCCATTAAGTTATGTGTTTTCGATTGGCATCTCTTGAGAGCGCATCTGGTGCACCTGGCCACCTGGCTAATTGGTGCTACTGATGCACTGAACCTTGGTTGCACAATAAAGGAAAAAGTCCATTTTAAACCTTAAGATCGTAGAGGTTCGGCGAATCAAACTCTCAAGTCCAAATCCCTGTCGTTTACACCCTAAACTATACAATCCCAGTCTAAATCAAACCCTGGAGTCGTTTGCCAAACAGGGATTGCAAAGGAAGGCCGGGATTGGTGGTGGAACCTATTTGCCGCCCACAGGAGTGGCTACGCCCGCGGGTGGGCCGGCCCATTTCGCGGCAGCGCGCGCTGTCCGTTCATTGCTTTGTTTTTCTGTTCATTTCTTTTGTTGACCTTTTGTTTTATTTTATCTTTTAGGTTTATTCTTTCTGGTTCTTTCTTTCTTTCTGCCTTTTTCTTTCGGGTTTTCTTTCTTTTGTTTTTTGTTTTCCTTTTTCTTCCATTAATACATTATAAGGAAACATTTCATTGTGTATTTTTTCATTAATAATACTTTAATACGATGAACAATCTGTGTTTCTTCTGTTTATTTTTCCTTTCTTCTTTTTTGTGTATTATACAATATTTTATCATGTATTGTGAAAATGGTCATCATATATTTAAGAAAATGTTTATTATGTACTTAAAAATGTTCAGCGTATAGGGAAAAAATGTTTAATATGTACTTTCAAATTTTTCAGCGCACATCACAGTAATGCTCATTGTGTATTTTCAAATTGTTCAGCGTATATCACAGTAATGTTCACTGTGTATTTACAAATTGATTAGCATACATCACACAAATGTTCAATGTGTATTTAAGAAATTGTTCATTGTATATTAAAAAATGTTCAATGGTCGAAATTATTCATTTTTTTATTAAAACGCAGATGCACAACTTTTTAAAGAAAATTGGTTCCGTTTTAAAAAACTCACAAAATTAAAAAATGGTCGTGTTTTCTAATTTTTTTCTGGAATTTCAAAAATTATTCCTATATTTCACAAAATTCTAAAGATGTCCGTGTTTTCAATAAAAATCAGGAGTTCAACAATGTTCCCGTTTAAAATTGTTTGCAAGTTTTAAATCTTTTCTGTTTTCCTAATTTTGTTCGGGTGTTTTAAAAAATATGCATGTTCCAAAAGTTTGTTTAAATTCTCCAAATTAAGTTTCGTAAATTTGTTCACAAATTTGAGAAGTAGTCGCTTTTCATAAACACCCAAAAAGAATCGAAACATTTTTTGCGTTCGAAATTTAAGAAAATATTCGAATCTGGTGTTGATTCATATAGTTTTGTGTTGCTTTATTTTAGGTATATATTCTTTAGTGTTGCTGTTTGAATATATTAAGTCGGTAGCTCAAATGGAAGTACCAGCGTATGTTGAGCTGCAGATCCTGGGTTCGATACTTGGCTAGCGCGCATTTTTTTAGCCTTACAGGCTCGCGCTACAGTAAGGTCCGCTGACGGTCGCCAGTTTCCATGGGCCGGTCAAGTCAGAGTTCGGCCTGTGCGACAGAAGAATAAAGGCAACATTTTTTTGAGAAAAAAAAACAAATGGGCTGGCCCATCAGACAAATCCCGGCTGACTTTTTGCGAGGGTTTGATTTAGACCGGGATTACATAGTTCAGGGTGCAAACAACAGGGATTTCGACTTGAGGGTTTGATTCGCCGAACCTCTACAAGTTCAAGGTTTAAAATGGACTTTTTCCCACAATAAAAACTGTTTGATTTTTTTTTGAAAAATAGTGCATTGACACAACATATCATTCTATGTTGTCACAAATTTTCATATCGAAATTTGAAAATTACACGAGATGCAAAAATAAAAATTTGGCATTCGCATTGATGTCAAAATTAAGCTTAATTGTGCCGTCAGCCAGTAGTGAGCGACAACGACCATGGCAACTTGCAACAACCCCGGGAAACATAGACAAAGGCGCGTGATGAATTTTTTTTTTGGAAATGGAGGTATACCCCCGGCCTCTGCATCATGATGATGCATGCGGCCCTTTTATTAAATATCCAAAAAGTAGCAACAAAAAGGTCTTACAGCTCGCAAACGGAGCAGAAACAAAACACAAAGGACTGGAAAATAGAAGTGGACAAATACAACCGGTACGTTGATAATAAGGACAAGCTCTCTAGACTCCTATCATGTTATGCGTATGCCATCCGAACCGATTGAATATAACCCGAGCCACCGTCTTTTATTGATTGCACCCAGTAACCAAAGGCTCTCTGAAATCCGTAGGAATGAGTAAGGACCACATAGAACACCACCTAACTTGTGCATCTTCTACTGAAAAAGTCCAAAGTCGTCGTCCCCTCGTACGCACACACACCCTCCTCAGCTAGGCTCCCTTACCAATCATGGCTTCCACCCCCATCCTACTCCTTCTCCTTGCGACGGCGGCCATGGCAGGCCTACGCCACGCCGGCGCGACGGAGTACACCGTCGGCGACTCCGACGGGTGGACCATCGGCCCCAACTACCTGGCCTGGTCGCAGAAGTACAACTTCACCACCGGCGACACGCTCGGTATGAACCATTTCCGTTGGTCCTCAGCACAAGATATATCTTTCGGTGGTCTTGACGCTCGCTGCCACGCGATGGCCCGCCGGCCGGTGCAGCGTTCAACTACGTGCCGCGGCAGCACGACGTGTACCGGGTGACGCGCGACGCGTTCCAGACGTGCGAGCCGACGGCGGGGCAGACGGTGCGCAAGTGGGCGTCGGGCCGCGACGTCGTCGACCTCGCCGCGACGGGGGACTACTACTTCATCTGCAACATCACCGGCCACTGCCCCGGCGGCATGAAGTTCTCCGTCGCCGTGGGCGCGCCACCTCCTCCTCCGCCTTCACCGCCTCCCCCGTCGGCCTTCCCGACTACAGTGCCGCCGCCTCCAAGCTCCGGCGCGTGCGGACGGCGCCTGGCGTTGCCAGACTTGGCGAGGATTGCCGGCCTCGCTGCGATCGGGCTGTGGATCAGCTTGCTGTCATGACGGTGATCGATGAATCAGAACGTTGACTTTACTTGTGATCGTCTATGCTTTTCTGAGTTTATTACTGGGTCGCCTCTGAGCTGGTATTGGGATTATTGCATACGGTGAATTTTGCATCTGATGTGTCTGCAGAGTTCATGATAATGTCGTAATTTTGGCAGTTGGTAGTGGCACACCAGAAGCAGAGTTAAACAGAAACTAAGAATATAGCAAGGGCAAGCCGATTGTTGCAGCTAGCATCCAGGCATACTGAACAACTATTTCCAAAAAAATTAACCCCACTATATCTATCATTATCTCAACCCACGGTGTTCACTTTATCGACCAAGGAAAGGGCATTGTATGTTCATCATCAGGGCATGAGCTGCTAACTAACAAATCAAGATCTAAGCTAAGCCATCACTAATTCGACAATCCAACGACGGCCATCCCCACCTCCATAGCGCAGCTCGATTCCACGAGGTAGCCTTTGGACCTGTCCATGATCATGCTGAGTGGGCAAAATTTGGAAAGCCCCCATCGGTGTGAATATGGCTATGCCTAACCGATTGCGCGCACAACTCAAATCTGCTCCACACATCGACATGCACATCCCATCAGCCTGCATGTCCACTCTCTCTCTTCTCTATTCTCTCTTTCAAACAAATCCAACCCTTTTATTTCACCTTTTTTAATTTAAATCATTTATATCTTTTAAACCAATATTCCAATTTCAAAAAAAATTGTTCCTATATAATCATGAGGCAAAGTCCTTTAGAATAAGACTAATATTAAATATTTTTTAACTACTTTGAATTTTTAAATGAATGAAATATGTTATTGAAACGAGTGAAATGAATGAAATTTGTCATTGAAACAAGTGAAATGAATGAAATTTGTCATTGAAACGAGTGAAATTAGTTATTGAAATTAGTGAATTAGTGAATCCGTTTTTTGAAATGAGTGAAATCTGTTATTGAAAACGAGTGAAATGACTAAAATGAGATGGAATCAATTTTTGAAATGACTGAAATCTATTATTGAAACGAGTGAAATGTGTTAAATATGCTATTGAAACAAGTGAAATGGGTGAATAATGTTATCAAAACAAGTGAAATGAGTGAAATCTGCTTTTGAAAAGAGTGAAATATGTTACTGAAACGAGTGAAATATGTTATTGAAAAATTTAAACTACTCAAAATATATCCAAAAATGATCTTGTTCTAAAGGTCCTTTTGTCAGGAGTTCGAGTATATAAAAAGTTCTGAAATCAAAATATTAGTTTAAAAGATGTAAAAGATTTAAGTTAGGAAATGTGAAATAAAAGGGATGGATTTGTTTGGGAGAGAGAAGAGAGAAGAGAGAGTGCACATGCCGATGTGACATCATATGTACCGGCTGATGTGATGTGCATGATGATGTGTGGTGGAAATTTGGGTTGTGCGGGCAATGAGTTAGACAAAATCCAGGTCCTCATCGGTGTCGACAGTCACGCGGAAACATCACGAGTCCTGCAACCACGGCAAGATTCATAGATATATAATCAGTCAAGATCAACGCAGAACAAACAAAGGGATAGCAAGGCGAGCCAGTTGAATCAACCTATGCGTCTGCGGATGTGGTTCAACCCGTACTTCTGGTCTACGACGGACAGAGCCAGTTCAACAGCCAGCCCAGATTTGCAGGGGAAATCGTCGTCCACGGCGTCCAGGTACAGGTACACGGAGAGCCAGCCAGTGCTGCCCTGTTCACCACGTGGATATATGCCGACGTACCTGGGGATAACATGCAATATACGAGTTCAATCCTTTAAGAAATCTCAACTGAAAGAAATCGGAAGAACATACAAAGCTATAGGTAAACTATAGGTGAGTAGAGTTATCCAACCCTTTCCATGCTTAGAGGTCACCTAAAAAAATTCAGTTGGGATAACTAAAATCACTACTTGACACAAGATTCTGAAACAACAAAGATAAACCCCCTTGGCAAAATAAAATGTATCCTAAATGCTTCTGAGCAGTATGAAATTAGTACTCTCATTTGATATATGTTAAATCAAAGGATACTGAAACAGATCGCTACCACTTATGTCCTCCCAATTCAAATGTAGGCGAACAGATGCAATCCTTTGAGTTCAATTGAAGAAAGTCCTTTATGGTCACGGTGTAGGTCTGTTTGATGAATCTATTCTTCTGGATGAAGAGGTTCTGAATTGTGGTATCCTTCGCAATAGCTTTCCTTTCGGGGGAGAAGACATCAATTTGTAGTATCTCCACACCAAAGACACACCGATCATCATCCATAAAATCAGATGATTTCAGTAGTTTGCTAAGAGGAATCAAGCATTCGAACTACGAATTTGGGTGCATGCATGACATCGAAGCTGGAGCTAGTTGCGTGTACATAAAGGTTAGAAGATTAGAAGGGAAAAAATAACTGTATTTAAAGTCGGTGCAAAACAACTGGTTTCTCCCAAGTAGGAGGAATCCTACTTGGGGTCTCTCCCAAGGTGGCGCCCCCCTGCCATGTATAGAAGCGGGGCTAGCCCTCCCCCTTTTCCTTTCCTAGGGC